AAATTATACCATGTTCATGGACTGCATGATTCAACTTTGAAGACATCTATTGTTCCCAAATTGATTTATAGATTCAATACAATACCATTTACAATCTTAAAAGGTTTGAATATCGGCAGGTATGTGGAGGAATTATAACTCTGTTATCTAGCAGTGGGAATAAAAAAACTTTGGAAAAGAGTTAGTAGTTTCTTTAAAAAGATAAATATATATCTACTACATGACTCAGCCATTCTATTAATAGGTATTTTACCCAGGAGAATTAAAAGCGAACAGAAGTTCACATATGAAGTTTATAGGAATGTTCACAGTACTTTAACTACAAGAACCAATATCTGGAAACAACCCATGTTTTCATCAAGAGATAATGGACAAATAATTAGTGGTATATTCATGTAATGGGGTGTGGGCTGAGAACCCCCCTCACAAACCTGGGTGGGGAATGGAAGACAGGGAACAGGGCCATTGAGAGTTACTTTGCATTATAAACAGCAGGCTACCATCTTACCTATATGCAAAAATAATTATTTTGCATATCAATAATAGACTAGTCTCACAGGAGTGGAGCCAGAGAGCTATGCATGACTTTAACCCGTAATGTAACTGGCAGGCAGTTCCCCAACTTACAGCGCCTGCACAGGAGCCTGGACATGATTCGCTCCATGTCATGGGGCCACGGCTGCCCTGGCTGACTGGCAGCCAAGAAAGGCAGAGGATATGGGAGTGCTAGCTGATGTAGCTGATTGTGCGGAGAGTTGGAAATGGGGTTACAGAGGAAGATTTGGGCCAGGATTTAAACCCAGGTACAGCAGCCATGCTGGGGTTTAACCACATGGTTTTGGGAGAGGAAAGGGGTCTCTCTTGACCACGCAGCTTAGGAAGCAGGAAAGCAAGATGTAGCAGTGATGTGGAGCTCTCTTAATTGTTTTGAATGGATGCAGAAAGATTCCTTGGCCCGCCATGAAGATGCAGTTTTGGATTAGGAATGGGAGCCTAGCTGAGCAAAGGACTTCTGTTTCTCTTCCTGAGATACTTTTCCCTGACTGACCTGGTTTGGCAAGGGGAGGCAGGACTGTGTGTGTGTTTGGGGGTGTTTTAAAGAGGCTTTGAAATTTAATGGTGACATTCCACCATTACTTTAAATCTGTATAACTTTTGAATAAATAGTTCCTTTCCTTTTTACCAAACTCTGGCATTGAGAGCCACAGTTCCTAACACCTGGCAGTGGGCACGATGAACCTAAAACAGAAGGACCCTGGGGGAGGGAGCTTGCTTCGGGAACAGTGTCTTGACCCCCAAACAAGTTGAATTCTGTAGCATTCATACGATAGACTACTTTTCAGCAACAACACAGAATAAAATATTGATACAACAGTGCAGATGAACTTGAAAATAACTATGTTGAATAAAATAAATCTGATTTTCAAAGTACTCACTGTACTGAAATTAATATAAAATAACTAAAAAAAAAGCAAGTGGATTTATGGTTACCTGGAGGATGAAGAGATAAAAAGGAATAGGAGGGATGGAATGCAGATAGGCACAAAGAAATTCTTAGGGGTCATTGGTAAGTTTACTATTTTGATTTTGATGATGGTTTCATGAGTACATAATAAAGCAAAATGTCAAACTTTATCATTTAAACATGGAATTTTATTTTATGGCAAGTATACTTCAATAAAGATGTTTACAATTTTTTAAAAACACAGGAAAATTTAAATTTTCAGTCTAAACAAAAAGAATTTACTGCCCCTAAGACATTTAATTAAAGAGTATATATACCAAAAATCCAGCAAGTTAATAATCAGTCGGAGTTAACAAAGTAAAAAAAGCTCAATACCATAAGTATTATGACATAATGAGTTTTATGGACATGCAAAAGAATCTTGGCTACCAGAATTTTTCATGAGCTTTTTTGCTGACATATCTTAGCTATAGAGGACAACTAGTCTGGCAAAGACAAGCATAGAATTCAACTAGAGGAAATGTGCCAAAAGATCAGATTTTTTCCCTGAATGTTAGCATTTATGTTCTCACATTGAATTTTAATCTTTGTAAACAGATTTTTATAATAATTTATGTAACTGTATGCTCATTTTATTCAAAACTCCACATCTTCCAAGATATTTTGTTACTTAGCATTATATATGGCCACACCTCCTGAAAATACTTCTTCTAATTCTAACCTTATTTCAATTATAAGTCTTTGAAAACTTCCTGTCATCGTATTTTCCATGTTATGCTCTTAAATATGAGTATTGTTTTAAGGTAGGATCTTAGGCTCTTCATTATTTATGCATGCATGCGTAAGTGACTATCCATTTACTCATTTCAAAAAGTCTATTAAGTGTCTATCTTCATCAATCTCTGTGCCAGGTCCTAGGGAAACCTAATCATCTAAACACACAGGGTTGTCCCTTACCTCAAATATCATGTTCTACCTATGGTCTTCCCTGGTCATTCTTAGAAAATTATTATAAAAATCCATTGTTTTCTCATAACATACAGGTACACCTCATAAAGTATTTTTAGCATTTTGCCATAAAGGGAATATCTCTAAATAATATCTTTAATCTGATTGATATCAGAACAATATTAGGAAGGATATTTCTTAAATAAACTCTTCAAGCCCACAATTCCAATCTCTGCCATTTTATTTGTCAATTTAAAAAATTGCACTAGACAGAATTACACAGTCCAAGCCTTTATTCAAGACTACTGCAATAGAAAAGAGAGACTGAGCTCAATTCCAATTAAACAAAAGGTTGGAGGTTTTTTAAGCTCTAATGTGAGCAAATGGAAAAGCAATGAATAACAGTAGGGGGAGGATGTTGATGAGTGGGCTACCTTGAGCACTTTTCAGTTATCCCTGAGTTTACTAGTGCATTTCTCTGTAATTAGGCCATCAGTGTTTGATAATTGGCATCCACGAAAGTTAGGCTGTTTGCCTCACACAGAGACTGAGAGATAGGAGTGCTGTTCTTTGAAATGTACATTTCAAAGGGATTGTTCTCAAGTCCTTGAGAAAAACATTTCTTGTGCTGTAAAACTGACTTGTGAATGGGAGATTTACATATGCTTCAAAGGAAGAAAGAAAGAATTCATAGCCACAAATTTTCTACAATAAATTCAATAAGAAAAGTGAAATCAAGGGCCTATAGTTGGGAAGAAATTGCCTGAAATTCAGTCAAAACTAAGGGGGGCATTTGGGCTATCTTAATCAAATTTCTGCAGTTGACTTTGTATCATTCCTGAAATCAACAAGAAAAGTAAGTCTGTCTTTTCAATACAACATGACAATATTTTCTGTCCAAAGTATGTGAGAGAGTTAAAGGAAAGGGGTAATTAGTACTTGTCTATTTACCAGTTCTCAGTACTTCGAATCTTAAAATTCTTATGAGAAAGTAGAGGGAGAGTGAGCAGGGAAGGGAAGGGCTTGGGAGAGGGAGGCAGAAGAGTATTTCTATGAAAAGTGCCACACAAAGAAAATTTAAAAACAGTTTTATAGCCAGCTTTCCTTCATATAAGTCTCTATATGAGATTGAATTGAGTTCTTATCAGGAATTTTCATCTTCCAGAACACTACAAGATGAGAAGTAAGAACAACTGAAAAATTTTTTTAAAAGACATACTAAGTTTATTTTTACCTACTTTAGGTCAAACAACACTGATTGCTAACTAATATTCAAGAATGAATTTTAATTTCTTTAAAATACTCTTTTTATGTTTTTCTTTTGCCCATATCTTCTCCAAAGAAAGAAATATGTTACTGGACATCTTTTTTTCTGCTACATGAGTATGTTTTATCAGTAATGCCAAGGGGTCTCTAAAAGTTCTAAGTTCACTAAAAACTTAAAAGGCCATGATTTTGCTTCAGAATTCAATAGTGAAGAGCATTTTTAGGCAATTGTTAGCATATTTTTCAGTCCATTATAATCACGTGGAGGACACTCCCTCAAAGAGTTACTGATTCAGTAAGTCTAAACCTCAAGAATTTGCCTTCTGCAAGTTCTAGGCTGTGCTAAGACTGATGCTTCAGGAGTCACATTTTTGCTCCTGGAAGTTTTACTGATTCTTTTTATATAAGGGTCAGCAAATGTTTTCTGTAGAGAGCAATTAGTCACCCTTACCAACCCAGATGCAAAATTAAGGATGTTATATACAGACTTAAGTAAAAGAGAGAAAACTATTTTCTATATATTTTTATTTAATTTATGGAAATGATTAATAACTAATAACAAGGGTTATGCAAATTTTAAATTGTTTGGACAAGAACACCTATTATTGGGTTTTCTTGTGGCATTATTTGTGCATAAAGGATTTCATGGATTAGAAAAGCTCCCCTCTTAATCCTTGTTATTAATTCCTTTGCTGTGTGTGTCATAAGGAGCATTTAATTGCCCTATTGAGATAACTATTAAACCATGTCATCTCAAATTATCCTCTTACAGGAATTGGTTAAATACATACATACAAAAACAAACAGTGGGCATGACAAGATTGAAAGGCTTCTCCTTTGAAAGGAAGAAAACATGCATTTTCTTTTAAAAAAGAATTAAAAATATATAGAAATTTTGATGTGGAACAAACGGATCTATGAAGTACACCCTGATTATCATATTAAAGTAGCAATATGGTCGTGTGTGTGTGTGTGTGTGTGTGTGTGTGTGTGTGTGTGTGCGCGCGCGCGCGCGCGCGCACGTGATAAGCAATATGAATGTCTCAGTGGCAAAATGAGCATAGGGAGGTTGTAAGTGCCATTAGAGTCTGTTTCCTTGCTTATTAAACATGTTCTTCCATCTGAAATACGAAGGAAGTGTGCAATGAACAAAAAGAATAAAGACAACATTATTTTTATTTATGTAAACTGATATTTAGGATTTAAAAGAGCATATTTCCAGTAAATACTGCAAATATTTTCTTTTTGCCTACTTTTGAGTTAAGACAATGTGTTTCTGTTCCAAACTTTGCTACTCAACAGAACTTCTTTTATCCAGAGTTTATATGCAGCACTGATTTCTCCATTTAATGCAGTATCCATAATCATACTCATCATCATCACAAAATGGTTTACATATTCCTTTCACTCCTTCGCATCTCTCAAATCTATACTTTGGTTCAAAGTTACTTCTGGCTGCAATCAAGAAAGATAAAGTCATCAGTCTGGTTTTTCATTTGAGGATCTTCTTCCTAAGGGGAGGAAGATCTCTGTTCTAAGTCATGCCATCATGGTTACGAAGACAGAGATTCTGGGATGTCAGATTGTTTTATAGCACACTTTATCATTTGTTTCAGAAGGTGATCAAGCCACAAACAGTTTATTTCCCAGAAATGTGTAGGTCCTTATCTTATGTCTCACATCAGTACTGATCTTCATCTGGCTCCTTGGGCCTCTTGCCTTCCCATCTTTTTTTCTTACTCTATTAAGGCCAGATTTACTCACACATGTTTTCATTAAGATGATACTTATAGTACTTAAAACGTGCAATTTTCATTTGCATGTGTTCCCAATTTTTTAAACCTACTTTTATTGCCTTTTCACAGAATAATTTGTTCAATACTTTATTCTCCATTCCAGATCTCATTCTTAAATATTTTTTCTTTTATTAGAATAAATGGATATACCCTTTTTGCCAGCTTACAAGTAATGAATGAAATCATAACATAACATAATTTAGTACTAAATTATATGTATTTTTCTTAAACATTTGTTATACTTTTACCCTTGCAGCCTATATATAAACCTTTAAATGTTAGTTATGATTTATTCTGATTCTTTGTTATCTGCTGTCCAGTATAGCTCAATAATTATAACATAGTAGGCAAGATACTTATTGATACAGTTATTTACTGAGGACACTAAACCACTTTAGATATACTCATACACATAGAAACACAGTTCTGTTATAAATTAAGTATTTAGTAAAAAGAAGAGCCCCGTGTTAGTCTTTTAGTTGGTTGTGAATCATCTAAGACAATGCAAAGAAGCATGTTCTGAGATTCCAAACTCACAGCTTTGTTTTATACATTAAACTATAGTAAATGGAAGTAAATATTCTTGTTACTTTAAGATTTTATTTTTCTTAATGATTTGATAGCAACCAGTTCCTTTAAATAAATGGGCTTTGAAGTCAGGATTATTTGTTTTCCCCTAAATTTTATCATAGTACTGGTGTATCCTGGATAAGTCATTCCACCTACCTACAGAATAGAATAACATAGCTACACAAGTATATATTGAACATTAAATTTTGCATGTGTCAGGAAAAATAGAGAAATAATTTCATTAAAATGAGGAGAATGAATTAAATTGAATTTAGATTGAAATTATATAATGTCAACTCATAGAACCTAATTGCCCACTTCATACTTAATTGAAATGCAAAATGATTTCATTTCAATTACATATGTCAGGTGCTTATTTGAATCCCTAATTTCCTCTGTACATTAAGTTGAGAACTGGACAGAAACTTCAAATGTATAGAATATAGAGAGAATTCAAATGTGCATACTTTATTATCATCAATAAAGTTAGGAGAAAAGAGAAGGAAGTTAAGCTTAAAGTGCCAGAAGTTGTCAGATGGATTTTGACATGTAAATATATGTCTCTCCTGTGGGAATGGGAAACTAATTCATGACGACAGAATTCCTGGCCATTGGTGAGATCTACAGGTATTTCAAAGCCATATTTGACATAATTTAAAGTAAGGAAGAGGGTGATATATTATTGCACTTAATTAAAAAAAAAAGAACTTTTGTTGTGTTAAGTACTTTTTAAGCTAATCAGCATTCCTAGGACCCTGCTATCTTGTCCACCCACCAAATCCATGTTGATTTTTTAAGATATGTTAAATTCAGAAAAAAGAAGGATGTATTGATTGTCACCACTAGTACAATTGAAAAAATACTAATGTTCTTCTAATTTTCTCATTATTTCAAAAGATAGAAATGTTTTAAATTATGAAGAAGTCTACAGAACTATATGATCTAGAAACAAAAAGTATGTGTAGCAAAAACGGTCCTATCACTTCTAAGTTATTTGTAAAGAGGTATCATTTTAGAATCACAGTTCTGTCATGTGGAAACTATAAATGAAAATAACATAATCTCAGTGTTTTATGAAACTTGGCTATGTAATATATTATACACTTTATAATGACACACAAATGTTATTTATGGGTGCATAAGTATTTATGTGAGGTGATCAAAACTAGGTAACATATACCACATAAAGACAAAAATGAAGAAGGACACATAACACCTTTTTCATCTACTGATAACTTTGTATGTTCTAAACATTACGGGACAAATGAGTCCTGTCCTAACTAATTTTCATGCAAAGAGAGAAAAGGAAATACTAGTTTGGGAATCCTATAAAGGAAATACATGTTCTGTCACAAATAACGCCCCTTTTTTATTACAAAATCATAAGCATGTAATTCTGATACATATCAATATCACACTCAAGCACATCATGTGACATTTTAGGTGAATTGTTCAAATTAAAACTATAAATTATTACACTCATATCATTACCCTGTCAATGACACCCAAGCAGTTGTTACTTCTGCTGGACGCTGTATATTCCAGAAAGGTTTCTGGGTGTCTGGACAAGAATGAAGGGCTACAAATGTGACGGAAGGTATACTGTGAACAGCAACCCCTAAGAAGTCCTGCAAGCACATGCAAGAGGACATTTCTGTTAGGCAACCAGTGGTTAAATATTCAGTGACCCCCATACATTGATTCAATGTTAGCTTTCCCAGGCTTTGTGGGGAGTTCTCCATCCTTCCAGGAGAAATGTCTGGCATAACCTCCCCATCCTTTGGCAGATTAATTATCTGCAGTTGACTTCTTTGCCCACCTCATGATGCTCCCTACAAATAGAGAGGCAGAGTTGAAAGTAGGAGAACGTAGGTTTGGAAGATACCTGTTTTCACCAGGTCTCAGTTGAAATCAAGGTAGGACAAGGCCATGGGTTGGTGGAAAGTGTATGATCTTACAGAATCAGATACTTCTAGGTTTCAATTCTGTATTTGCTATTTATTGGCTGTGATATAATGTACAAATGATTTAGTTCACTCTATTTCAATTTCCTCATGATACTGAGGTTTTTGTGAAATTTTAAAAGCTACAATGAGAAAATATATTAACTTCTCATTGAGTGTTAGAAAATAAATGTCTTCAAAGTTAAGTTATTTGCATATCCTTTGTTTTGACTTTCCTTTTGGATTCATACTTAAACTGACCCTGGGAGAAGCACTGGTGCTAGTGTTTATGATCTTTTCCACTGAAAGCACAAACCTCCAGTCTCAAGGCACTGGGGCAGGTCTGCTGTCTGCCTTGTCCACAGTAACATGTAGCAAAATGTTTGAAACACCATAATAAATTTGCAACTAACTGACAAAATGAGTGAATAAATATGCTATCATGGATAAGAATCTAAGTTTACAATTGTCATCAGTGTGAGTGATTTATAGATCTGTGATAGATTTTTAACAATAACGGTTTATAAACTCACTGATTTTTTTTCTTCATTTTCACTTTTAAATGAAGACAATGCCTTCTCTCATGATCTCTACCCACCCTTTCATAAGCAACTATGTTACACTCAGCCCTGTGCTGAGTTTTTGTTTAAATTTTTTAGAGTAAAAAAAACTATGTGCCTTACCCCCAAAAGGCAGACACTGTTTGTTGGGAGGCAATGACATAGAAGTGGAAACAATACAGTGTCACTTTACAGTTCTGATATATAAATAAAATGTACTCACAGCACATAATAAAGATCTGTAAACTCTTCCTGGAAAACTATTTTACTACTACTACTACTACTACTACTACTACTACTACTACTACTACTACTGTAGCTACTGCTACCACAGCCATTAGTAAGAGCTATACTTTATTAAGTGTCCATTAGGTTTCAGATTCTTTACTGAGCAAATTATTATCTGATTTAACGTTCTAAGACCTTTTAAGATAAGCATAACCATTCTCATTTCACCCACTGGGACAACTGAAGTCAAGAACTCTGAACAAGGTTTCAGAGGGAAGACAAGGAGCGAGGATTCACAATAAGTCATGCTGGACTCTGCATTCCTTTCCTCTGTGTTCGAGCACCTCCTTGAGCATGTGACTTTTGGTTGCATCTCAAAAAGATGATAGCATATTTTAAAGAAATTGAAGGGAAGCCTACACATTGATATGGTATTTTGAAAGAATTTGTGAGCAAAGAAAAATGGTGTGATTTTCAGCATGACTGAAGAGATGTGGACATGGGTTTTAGGAAATAAAGTAGGCACATGTGGCCAAAAAAAAAAACATCTGTAAAGCTGAGGAGGTGGGTATTATCATGAATGGAATGGAGAAACAATAGAGATTCTAAGCACCATTTTCTTAATTGTGTAGCAGAGAGGCTATGTGGTGGATTGTTAAAGCAATCTAAATATGAAATAATGAGAGATATAATTAAGTTAATGGGATTTCAAACAAGAGAAGAAAGTGAATTTAGGATATAGTTATGAATTAGAAGCAGCCCAGTTAACATCTGGATTTGGGGGAAAAGTACTGGGAAGTAAATGATGTCAAGTGTTTTAGCCGTTAATACTCTGTGTTGGATAATAACAATCAATGAAAAAGAGAAGAAGTAGAAGGTTACAGACTTTAACCTCTGTGAGTAAGATGAGTTCTATTTTGGACAGAGCCGGATTAAAGAATTTGAAGACCAGCCAGAAAAGTAAGTTCTATAACTAGTAATAAATTCAGCTTTGTGGTTTGGGGAGGAGATAGAGGAAAAAAATTGCTGACAGCAGAAGTTATTGTACTAAACAAAATAATCTCAGGAAAGTGTATAGAATAAGAGGAAAAGGGAATCAGGGATAAAACACTAAAGGTGTCTATGTTTAGGAGACTATCAAAAATGGAGAAGTCAACTAATAACTGTCAAAATAATAACCAACTAAAGTGTTGTTCAGAAATATAATAGGCCTTAGGGTTTGATTTTAGAAAAGTACTTATAATATTAGCAAGATTTTGCAATTGCTGTGCATGAGTGTATAGGGGAGAGTAGTATATGAGAGTTAATAAAATGGAGACAATGAGTCTAGGTTGCTTTTCAAGGTGTTTGGTGAAGAATAGAATAAGGCAAATCAGAAAATAGCTTAAAGAAAAAAAAAGCCTCTTATGAAATCCAATTCTACCTATAATACACCTAGAACCACTCCATTCCTCATTGTTTTCTTATGACTGTGCTACCGTAATATATTACCTGTATTATTTCAATACATCCTAACTCATGAAAGCACACCTAAGAAGTCTTTTTTAAAACAAAGAACTTATATGAATGACCCATGGAGATTAACTAAGGGGTAGAATGCTGGTGGGAGAGGGGTGCAGGGTGGAGGAGAATAAAGGGAAGAAAAAAAATGGGACAACTGTGATAGCATAACCTATAAAATATACTTTAAAATAAAGAATAAAAGAAATCTAGATATGCCTAAGAAATAATAAAACTAAATTCAAACCATGTTCTATCTTTGACTAAAACCTATTAGATTTACCTCAGAATAAAAGGCAAGACCCACTCTAGTTCCTTAAAAGCTGTGGTTAATCTGTCAACATATTCCCTTGTGACTAACTGTCCTCCCCAGCTACTCTCTTCCAACCACTCTTGGCTTCACGCATTCCTAGCAGCTCTCAAGTGTGCTCCCCTGACCTCTTCTTTGTCTCTTTTATTATTTTGCTCAAATGGTATTGTCTCAATAAGGGTCCCCTGAAAAATTCTATTTAAAATTGCTATAGTCCATCATCATTTTGGGGTCCTTTAACTCTATTTGATTTATTATTTTCTAACTTAATTTTCTTATTTATTATGTTTATGCTTGTATTTTTCTCCACATTTAGAATATGAGCTCCACAAAGATAGAAAATATTGTTGGCTTTGTTTATTGACTTCTCCTGATCTTATAGTATAGCTAACAAATGGTAGGTCTCAATGAGTACTTATTAAATTCATGAATAAATAAGAGAAGGGCATGAAATGGAGTGTCTAACTCATGTACTACCAGTGTGATGAATTGACAATGATCTTCTTGGGGACAGATACTATGTCATTCATTTTTTAACTCTATCAAGGGGAACAGCACTTATAACTCAGTTTGTGAGCAATAACTATCAGTTACTTAAAACGGGAGCTGTAATTTTTTTTTTAAATCTCCAAATCCAAAGCCCATGACATTATACTTGGGAAGAAGCAAGCCAGCCACTAATCAAATGTTTTCTGAATAAATAAATTCTTAATTGGGATTAGATAGTATCCTCGCCCCAGGACATTAAGGTAAAATAAATCCTGAAATGGGTTGGGTTTGAATATTTGGAATCAGGTTGAATTCTGATCTTTTTCCTCCTAGTCCTGTGCTGAGTTCGACGGTGACACACCTCATGGCACCATAATGCTTTTAACTGATTCAGGTGTGTATGGTGTAAAGAACAACAGAAATGCTGTATCTTTTACCTGGTGGTATTAGATCAGCAAGGCCAATGTTAATCAAGACTTACAGAAAACTGAAAGTGAAAGGAAATGCATAATGCCATAGAAATGTAGATTTTGGGCCAAAAGAAGGGAAAAATGCAAGATTTCAGGTTTTTAGGGTTAATGAGTGTAACATTATCTAACTGTTTTGTCCATCAGTCCAATGGAAATTACAGTATATGAGCAAGAAAATTGCCAGAAATTTCCCCATTTATAAGTATTTGTCTTAACTTTTTTTTTGTTAATTAATGCTGAGGGCAATATGAATAATTAGTGACACTGCTCTCTCTTTAAGGAACAGGCTGCAGAATTTCATCAAAAGGGCCTCTAGAGTTGTCAGTAGATATCACACACAGCTGTTAAAAGATTTCTCCAGGGAATGATATTAATTTTATAGTTGATGCTCATAGATTCACATTCTCTTTCAAGTCTGTCACATTTGTCCTGGGACCAAAGGCAGAGGATTGTGGCTTGAATATACACTGGACTATACAAGGAGAAGCCAGCACAAAAATTTAGATGGTTTTAGTTTTGTCTGTCAAACACTGAAGGATGGTGGGTGTACCAGTACAGACTAGTTCATGTGCCGAGATATCTCAAGTACCTTCTAGAACACTTCTCACCATTTACCACTGCTCAGTGGCCACTGAAATATTCAATTCTTATTTGCCACATATTAAGAGTATACTAGGCTTCTCAACTTTGCTTTGTAGGTCTTGATGTAATAATAGTTCAGTGCCTGCTTAGGGAGGATAAATAATAATCAAACTTTTATAACAAGCATTTAATTTTACTAATCTTCTCAACATGGTTGATATATTTATTGCCCAAAGGTTAGGTTAATTTTTTTCTGGAGTCACCAGTATATCAAATAGAATCAAACTGGTTCATATATACTAGCACATGATAATGTCAAATAGAAATTTATTCTCACAAAGCACAAAAAAATATATTGACTACTTGAGAACATTTTTGTTTCCGTTTTCATTTTATAATTTCTGTGAGAGTAAGTGCTTAATTATAAACCAGGGGTTCTAACCCAGGCCCCTCAAAGAGGATGTTTGGCAATGTAGGTAGACATTTTTACAATCAGTGGAAGGAGTGTTATTGGCCTCTAGTGGGTAAAGGCCAGGGATGCAGAGAAAAATCCTGCAGCTAAAGACAGAATGCACAACCACAACAAAAACTGTCTGGACCAAAATATCAATGGTGCCGAGGTTGAGAAACCCTATTTAAATGAATATTGTAAAAATAATTTTGGAGGTATTTATACTACAAAAGAACACATTAAGCGGTCAAAGTCTATTTTTAGTAATTAAGATCGGTGAAAGATAACGCCTGTAAGGCTCCAGTGTATGCTTAGCAAATAATTGCTTCAAAATGGGAATTCACATTTATTAAAATAAAACTCTAAAAACTAAAGTCTGTTGTGATAGAAATATATCTAGAAACTTTATCAAAATGAAAAATAACCTTTCTCTGTGCATGTCACTGTAATAGATAATGGTTCGTATGAACACAGATCCTTGTCTTATACCTACATTTAGAAAATGCAATATGATGTCTTAAAAATATCAAGAGAATACTTGGGGTCTGGAAATTCTTTGACTTCTTATATGAGTCCAAGTCTGATCCACATGTATTCACTCAAAAATTTTCCTTTTTCTATAAATTGCCCCAATTTTTTAAAATTTTATTTTGGGGGAAAGGGAATTTTCTAACTGTTTCTATTACTGTGTTGTGGTATTGATGATTTTTAAAAATCCGAATTAATACAAAATACTAAATTGTATTTCTAAAGTGATAAAAGAAGCAGATTTTGCATCTCT